AGGCCCCCCCCCCCCCCCCCCCGCCAATGCCACCTCCGCCTCCGCCCGTTCCACTGTAAGGTGACGTGAGACCCGTCATCGTGGCTGGATTCGTATTTTGCTGATCTCCATCCTTACTCGCCATGTCCGCCAGCGACCAGATCCGCGGCTTCGTCGTCACCGCGCTACCCGTGGACGGCGCGCTGGTACTCGGTGGAAGATGATGTTGACTACCTGGCGACGTGCTCTCCGGCGAGGGATGGCGCAACAATCGACCGTGATTTTGAGTGAGATACGCCGGATGCTGTAGTTGCAGCGGATGCCTCGGTTCCCTCTGATCGTACAGACATTCCGGACTATCCGGGCCACTGTCCGCTCGCGACTCGCTCCACTCGCTCTCGGTTCTACCTTGGACGCCCGCCGATCCACCACTGCCGCCATGTAGTAAGTCCAAACGGTGCGCCGGTCGTTCCCCGTCCTCGCTGGAACCTGTACCTGAGTCTTTCGAATCTGAACCAAGAAGAAAAAGTCGAGCGTCGTAATTCGGAATAATACAGCTTCGATTTAAATTTTCAGTTTTTTAAAAAATTAAATTTATTTAACAATTTAAACAGTACAATCAGGAATACGATAATTATAGTATATATTAATATTGTTGATCGGCATTATTGATAAGTAATGTGATTATATATCTAACAAATATATCATTCAAGAGACTCACCTAGCCGATCTTTCTCATCGACGCTTTTCCGCCCGCTATCATCGTCTTCGTTATTGTTATCTTCGTCTTCAACACGATTTCTTGGTTCCCACGTCATTTTATTTTCTTTTTTCAAGCGTCTCCGCGCGTTCGCAAACCACGTCGACACTTGTGTCAGTGTCATCTTGGTAATAATAGCCAGCATGATCTTTTCGCCTTTAGTGGGATATGGATTCTTCTTGTGTTCGTTTAACCACGCTTTCAGCGTACTCGTTGTTTCTCGTGTCGCGTTTTTTCGCCTCGCGCCATTTAGATCCATGCCATAACTATAACAAATTAAAGTGAGAAAAATTATATACAAAGTCATCCCCCACATACAACTATCATTGTATTACTCTCTTATATTCTGTAGAAAATATTTTTATAGGCGATATATGCAAAAAGTGTGAATTAACAAAGCATAATGACAAAGCAATGATGAAAATTCAATGGCGACAGTATGAAAGACCATTGCTTGTTTATATTCTCAATAACAACTTGCGTCTCGCAATCGGAGCGCAGATGCAGAACTTGCGGGCTAAGTCACGCGTTTATTATCCTGTAACTGGTCTGGTAGGCTTCGAAACGGTCTCTGCGCCTCACCAGACCAGTCGAGGATTAAGTTCTACGTCATGAACGCGTTTTTGAAGGAGACACGTGACCTGGATAGACACATACATGGGACACGATTCTTTATACGTGAGTGAGCGAAAATAAATGAGACACTGAAGAAAGAGCCAACGCCAAGTGGGCTAGCAGATCTTCCGCGGAAGCCCACGTCGAACTTATCCCATCGCGGGGCTCGTTATGCCTTTCCCAACGTCAGTATAAAAGTCCGAGTCTTGCTCGGTTTGAAGAGCGATATAAGCGGGTAGGTACTACTTTCATCCCGAAAGCAGATCTCTATCTAACGGTTTAAGCTCTTTGCTTCCATTCTGGCCAGAGAAAAGAGAGCAGCGGGGCAAGGGAGAGCAAGAAGAGGAGAGCAAGTAACCTCCTTCTTGCTTTCCGCCTCACTCTATCGGACTGGAGCGACCGACCCTCTGGGATCCCATTACTAAAAGACTAACCCTTATCAAAGATTAAACTTCGGTATAACTGCTGAATCGACGGGTTCGAAATTAAATTTTCCACCACCAGAGCGACCGGCTAGGACTCACGGGGTACTTTCTCTCCGCTTTTTTCTTTCATTCCCTCTTTCTTTCTCTGCTTCTCCTTGAATTTTATTTTATTTTATTCTGTTCGTCTCTTTCGTCTTCTTTAGCAGTTTTTTTTCTTCGTGTGTACGATCTGGCCGAGATGTCACGATCCATAGCTTCGTGTGTCTCAAGAGATTTATACGAAATCGCCGATCTAATCGGGAACAGTTTTCTTAATCGTATACATTATTAACAACTGTAACCATTACTTAACTCTATCATAAATGTAAATGAATCATAGCCTTATTGAGAATTATAATACATAACAAAAAGTTCCATTATAAAAATTACGAGTTAATTAATTTTATGTCCGAAATATTTTCACCATACAAACAGTTGCAAAGCAAATGAAAGCCTATACAGATCCCGGACGTGAAAAATTTCCCTCATAAAAATACCGCTGAACGACGAGATATCGTTGATTCAAATCCCCAACCGGCATCTCCGCCACCTTTTTCGACGTCACGGCGCGTCGCCATTATTGAGCTTTATTTTCGCCTTCGCACACCCCGAGACGTATCCAACGACGGGGACGAGGGTGAAAAGGCGTGTATGGACACGCGACTGACGTCCCTGGTGTTGCGTGGCGTTGGGTAGGTTAGATATAGGGGGTAAGCGTGGAAGTGGCGGGAGATGGGAAATTAATAAAACTGTCACTTATCTACCCTTCTCTCGGAGGCAGGCCTACACACGGCATTTCTCGCTCCTCTATCTTCGTTGTCACCCTCCGCCCCCGTTCGCCACCTCTCCATCTCTTTTCACCCTTCCTCATATTATCTACCTATCGCACTTTTCCTGCTTCTATTTGTCTCGCTCCGATTCCAGGACGCCCCGCATGCGGGATTTGAAGCAGCTGAAACGAAGCGCTAAACATTTCAATTTGGCATCAGGCGCTTTCATGCCACGCGCGCGCGCCTTGATATACATCTCTCTGTCTTTTCGTCTTTCGACCTATCCTATCCTTTCCGCAGTGTATTCCTCGTCCTATCCGCTCGACGCCAGGTCGCAGACGCGGAGGGTCGGAGACGCGCGTACTGCCTCCGCTCGTGGAGTGAACAGAGGCGAAAGGTGGTTTGAGCGAGACGAAGGGAGGCGGAGGATGCACGAGATGGACCAACATCGATAGAACGGGGACAGGAAAAGTGCGAGGAAGATAGAAAAGAGCCAAGAGCACCGAGAGGAGACGGCAGGACGACGGCGGCGGCGGTGACGGCGGGGGGATGGCTTAACCCCAGTCTGTTTGCGAGGAGCAAATGGCGTTCTGCAGTTATTTTAAAATTCAGCCGGTGGCAGGGGGCGCGGATCGGATTAAAAAATCAGAGTGGAAGCTTGTTTCTCATGATAACAGCCAGCCGCCCCGAGAGCGGCAACTGCTGGTGCCGCTGGTTTCTCCCGATTCCGCCTCTCTGCCACTCCTCCGCTCCATCTCTCTGTTTCCTCCATCCATGTACTGAGCCTGTTTTCCGTCTCTTTTCTTTCCCCCCCCCCCTTGCCGATCCCTCCTCGCTCTGTGCCAAGCGATTCTCCCAATCTATCTCTCGTACAGCCGCTACCTCCGGTATCATCACCGCCACCAACCATCGCTATAGCCATCGTCAACCGCTTTAAATATACGACAGCTACATATGTAAATATATATATGTATATATATATGTGCGGTGGACCGGCAGAATATAGACGAGCTCTGTGCATTTGCCGGAAATATATAAATATATATGCAAATGTGCATAGGTGTGCGTTGATACGCATACGTATGTGCGGCATCGCGCGCATCTTCCTCTCCTCTCCACAACTGATCGCATCAAGTGCTTGTTTCCATGGTGATTGCTAATCGGGCCGCGCCTCGTGTTCTATCCTACGCCATTTTCATCTTGTAGTACCGTTCACCGTTTCGTGAAAAACTCATTACTGATTGTACAATACATTGACTATAAAAGTGATTAAAAAGTTTAGCATTTCCGATTTTTACAAAAGATACCTATCTATCCTCGACAATCGTTACGTTTCAGAAAAAAACTATCTCTCGTTACTTCGAAAACAAATCTTTATCAGAAGAAATACTTTCAACATTGTCACTTCCGATCTCTTTGCGGGCCGCATCCCAAAGGCATTCTCAATGTAGGTGTTGCAACTTTCTTTATCAATTCAACGGTACCTACATTGTAACTATAAAAATTTAGATTCTGATTGTTATAAAGAAAATGCGAACTATCTATTAACTCGGAAATAATCACTTGTTTTTACCCAAGCGATGAGAAAATGTGAATTATAAAATATTATTTTAGATAGTCATTGTTTAACATATTTTCTTTTTTTTGTTTAATAATTATTCTTTACGATCTTTTAAATATCCAATTCCATCAAAAACCTATAATAAGAACGCGTCGTATTAATTAAAATTTTTATTTTTTAAATATAGTAAACTATTTAACGTGCTTATTTCGTTTAACATTCGATTTGTATTTTTTTTTCCAGAAAATTGTGATCAAAATAAATCCCTGTCCATAATGTTATTAAATACTAATAAATCAGAAAACAATCAATAATACAATCTGTTGTTAATAATAGTGATTTTAATTGAGATGTAAAAACACTTTGGATAATCATTTACATAAAAAAAAATCAGGTAACTACTCCCAGGTTAAAAAACAAATTATAAGAAGATAACTATGACCAACTAAAAAAATTAATTAAATATCATTTTAATATTGTTTATTCTATAATTTTTAATTAACTTTTAAAAACAAGCAGAAAAATATAATTGATTAACGATACTTATTAATAAATGCGTAAATGAATAAAATTTCAGTTAACAGAAACATTAATGAAGGGTTGTCCCATAAAATTACTGTTAACCGGTTTAAAGAAATATGAGTATACTGATCGAGCAAATGTAAAGTAAATTTAAATACAAACGCATAACGATGCGTATATATTATCATTAAGCGCGAACCGTACAATGTCTCAAGCCATACTAACCTAATGTATATACAAAGTGTTGATTTAATGTCGTAAAGCACTTTGATTAACGCAAGTCGTAAAAGTATTATCGTTGATATGCGCAACACATTTCCATTGATGTACACTGCATTATACTTCGACTTCTGCGAGATAATTATAACCTTCGTCTTGAATTAACACACGTATCGACTATCACGACAGTTCCCAGTTGTATGAAATATCACTATTGCATTCAATCGGACTACAAATTTGTGAAGGATCGTGATTTGCATATCTCGCATATTTCGTCGATGTACGGCGTAAAGGCTGATATTTTTTTTCGATCCGAATGACTTATTCGTCAAACCGAATGACCGCGCATTGCGATTAACATCCTCCAAGGGATGGACCGCTATCGTGAATATATTTCTCATAGATAACAACCGGTTCTCCGCGCGCTTCCATGATGAAACTTCGGATTCTGCGAGATCCAGTTAGCGTTTTCAAGACGGCGACTACAGGAATCGAGGCGACCATTAAAAGCCAACCGAACGGCCATTTCTTTCGCCCTTTTCCCGTCGACCGGTTAGCGTAAACGCGTCCATCAAGATGTAGCCTCCAGAGAGGGTGGAAATGAAGAGGGGGGAGCCCCGGGGGTGACCAAGGGCAGTTCACCTCGGGGCAGGTGTGCGGTTGGCATGACTCCGCCCCTCGTCACCGGCCGTAACTAGGGATGATATCTAACTTCGTCCTCCATCCTGCTCCCTCTCTTCTGGGCCCTCCGCGCCCGACGCTCCTTTTCAGATACGGTCGTCATGCCTTATGTTTTATCAGCGCGTTACTGCGGCCATTTCAGTGGTAGACGCCATCTTTCTGCGACACAACTGTGAGCACGCACGAGGGTTGCGCTTTCGCGCGCATCTTTCCATTCAGACTATCCAGTTTGTCCCAAAGTCCGCCTGCGCACCACTATCCCTGTCGTTTGAGGTCGCGCTTGAGTTTAATCAGCCGCGAGTCCGCGGCCAGACTGGTTTGCGGCCCCTTTGATCCACCCGCTTTCCGTGACGGTAACCTTGCGAGTCTTCACATGAGACAGATTGAGAATACGAAAATGAACTGGAAAGTTTACAGAGGAAGAAAAATCGAGC